GTGCAAGTCTGGAGACTGCTGGAAGGATTTGTAGGATTAGGTTTTGCACTGCTCTGCCTCTATCATTTCACACTTCATAGGAACATACAACTTTGTCATGTCTAAACAGAACAAAAATTCTTTATAAGTATATTTCTTATGGAAAAAAAATCATATTTACCTGTATGTCCTGTAGCTGGTTATCGGTAGCGTAAAGATGGGTCAGTTTTCGGAGAGGGGCCAAGTCCCATATTTCATCAATGTTATTTTTGCTGATATTTAGAATGCACAGAGTTTCCTGAAAGAATTCAATATTAATATAATTAATAATGCACTTTAAATTTAAAACCAGTCCCACTTCTGGTGAGCCAATGAAGATTTCACTGTGTTCGTAAAAGGAGAGCATTTAGGAATCTTTTGGCAGGGACAAAATTGGGTGCACTTACACTTGCAATTTCATTAATTATCAAAATAAACAAAATTCCCAACTTTTCGGTTTGTTTTCCCATAGCCTGGGCGGCAAACACTCCCTGTTGATCTGTCAGACAAGGAGGCAGCCACAGAGACCTCTTTTACCCTCATCAAATTTTGCACAGAACTGCTTTGATACACATCTTGGTCCATGAGTCCTACGTCTCTCATCTGATTCTGACAGCAAACTCACAGGACATAGTGCTATATCAATCTAAATGTAAAGTGCACTAGATTGTAGATACCATGAAACACCCTCTGTAAGGCTTTTCACTGAGGTGAATGTTAAAGCAATGAGCTACTCACAGAGAGGCTAGAAATGGAACGGGGGTCAAAGACCAGCTTTTCTCCACGGGGTAGTTTCTGACCTTCCACATGCAGCTCCTTCAGGCTTTTCAGCTCATCTAATCCCTCCACCACAGTGATGCTGTTACCTCCCAAGAAACTCAAATATAGAAACATTAGTAGTTAATCATAGTTAACGGTAACATTCATGGCCTTTTAGTAGTGCTGTATGTATATTTTCAATGAAAAATATTAACGTCACATCAGTTCAAATTTCAATGCAAGCAGGAATTAATTAATATGCTTGTACTATCATATACTTACAGTTTGGAGAGCTTATGTAGAGATGAGAGGTTCTCTATGCAAGAGATATTGTTATTTTGCATATATAAGTGTGTAAGGTTTGAGGCGAATTCCAAATTGCAGATTTGTGATATTTGGTTGTCATATAGATACAGGACTGTGAGGTTTCTGCACATTGATAGATCACCCTACAAGTTAAAAAGGGAAAAAAATAATCAGTAAACAAACTACTTGTTTGGAATCAATTTTTTCATTTTTGAAGTTTTTAAAATTAGTTATTTTATGCTCACCATGGCTGCGTTTATTTGATCAAAAATACAGTAAAAATGTTATATTGTGAAATATTATTACAATTTAAAATAACTGTTTTCTGTTT